CGCCCGCTCCCGCTCCCGCTCCGCCGCCGCCTCCGTCCGCCCCTCAGACGCCTCCAGCCATCGGGTATTAATGGCAATTCTACAATGCAACTAAAATAAGTGTAAAAATAAAATAAGTGTAACTAGTATAAAGTAAAAGAAAATCAAACACCACCCACGCTTTTAAAAGTTTAAAAAGAGATATATTTGTAACACTTTTTTTCTGCAAGCAGTATAAGACAATATTATTTAATTCATTTCTAATAACAATGAAATCTAAAAATCTATGAACCCAAACATAAACGTTCCTTAAGAATATTGATAATGCTAATCATTTTAAAGCTTGACATTTTACAAATGGACAGATTGAAAGGGCACACATAACTTTGAGGTAACTATATAAGAAGTATCAGAAAAAAATGTTTTTCAGGGTCATTAGCATTCAAAGGCAAAAATTCAAAATGCAAGATTAAACAATTTAAATAATTATGTTTGTGTCATGAGGTATTTCTACATAACATTCCATTTACATTCCTTTTTTTAAGATTTATTTATTTATTTGAGGGGAGTGAGGTGGGGGGGTGAGGAGGGGCAGAGGGAGGGGCAGAGAGAGAATCTCAAGCAGACTTCCCACTGAGCATAGAGCCCAACCCGGGGCTTGATCTCACAACCCTGAGATCACGACCTGAGCTGAAATCAAGAGTTGGACGCTTAACTGACTGAGCCACCCAGCGGCCCCCCATTGACATTATTATATATTTTGGCTCTTGAACTAAAAGAACTTTAAGTATTCACCTTTAACTTCACTATACTGAAATCTTTGTAGTATTTTTTCCCTTGAAAACTTTAAAATGGTTTCATTGAATGCCAGAGTAGGAAGGATTAAGTACCCTTTTAATTTTTTATTTTGTTTGTTTTCAGACAATATTTTCTGGAATTGCTCATACATATTTATCAATTAAGCATTTGTAACATGAGAGATATGGCCATTATGTACAATTATTCTTTTAGTCACTGAAGAAAATCTTGTTGATAGCATCAAAAATAGATAAACCACACTGTAATCTAGTCAGTAATTTTAATCAGTACTCAGAGGACCAAAAAATGAAGCAAATCAGTGCAGTTGGGGCTTTAGGATATTATTAATGTTGAAAAGCAAGGTTTTTGTGTTTGGTTGGAAAGGATGCGACCCTGTATTTCTACTCCTGGTTTACTATAATAACATTACATAATTTCTTTATCCTGCAATCCTATTAGGTTGCTGGGAAGACTCACAATTTGAGGTGGGAAGTAGGAATAAGTGCTTTCATTGACATCTGTAGATAAACCTGAGGCAGGGAGTAACATATCATGCAACGTAGGAGAGTAGTTCTTCTGCAGGGTATCAGAAACTCTTGTCTCTAAGATTTGGAATGAAAGGAATTGGTATAGCATGTGTCCCACCAAACAGAAGTAAGCCTTTAAGAACCTCACTGTGTAAGCCTTGCTGCTTTACTGACTGGCTGTCTATTCTGCGCATTAGAAGTTTGATAACAACTTTTATTGGGATCCAAACACCCATTCCTAAATACCTTAACTCCTTTTTTTTTTTTTTTAAGATTTTATTTATTTATTCGACAGAGAGAGACACAGTGAGAAAGGGAACACAAGCAGGGGGAGTGGGAGAGGGAGAAGCAGGCTTCCTGCCAAGCAGGGAGCCTGATGTGGGGCTCGATCCCAGGACCCTGGGATCATGACCTGAGCCGAAGGCAGACGCTTAACAACTGAGCCACCCACGCATCCCCTAAATATCTTAACTCTTAAACTCAGCACCTTATAAAAACAGCAAGAATTAGAGAGATAGAATGTACGAGTTACAATCACATACTCTGGTGCGCCTGGATGGCTCAGTCAGTTAAGCATCCGCTCTTGATTTCCACTCAGGTCATGATCTCAGGATCCTGAGATTGAGCCCTGTGTTGGGCTCTGCGCTGAGCGTGGAGCCTACTTAAGATTCTCTCTGCCCCTCTCTCTGTCCCCCCCACCCTGCTCATGCTCTCTTCCTCTCTCAAAAAAAAAAAAAAAAAAAAGCACATACTCTGGAGCCAGATGGCCTATATTGAAACCCCAGACCTACATACCAGCTGTGTGATCTTAGGCACTTTGCTTATCATTTCTAGACCTCATTCTTCCCTTTGCAAATGGGGACAATCACAGCACTTCCCTCAGAGACTTATTTTAAAGAATATATATGTGTATATGTATTATTTTATATAATATTTAATAAATATTTTAATATGTAATGCTACTATAATAATATTACAGTTTAAATATATTGCTAATTCATTTAACCCTTAAAATTACCTTGTGAGGTAAGTATTTTATATGTATATTACAAAATAATAGATATTATAGAGAGTAGAATATATATACTACGACCTAATATATATATTGGAATAGTATGTGATACATATCATTATTATTTTCATGCCCTTGAGTTCAAATTGAAAATCTGAATTTTCCAATTTAATAAATCTACATTCAGCCATGTATTCCTTTGCTTTATATGATACCTTTTCAATTCTCAAAATGATTAGAATCTCCAAGCTTACTTTCACTTTTTTTCCTGAAAGAAATCATTTATAGGACAAAAATCTCTGCTTAACTACTCAAACTAACTTGCTGGAATATATTCTTACTTGGTGGAAACAATGGGCATCTTTTAGAAAAGTCAATGTTTTCTGTGTGTCTTATGAGAGAAGGTCACAGGATAGTTAGAATAACACATGCCTCCATAATTTCTTTTCTACAATAATCTTTTTTTCCTTAAGACCTTAAAGATCTTATCCTTTTTCTTTTTTCAGATTTGTCCATCTCAAGACCAGCAACACATAATTTTGTTGTGCCTGTAACTTTACTCATACCTACTGATATATACAAGTTTAGTTTGGTAGAACATTCTTGATTTCTGGAGCTGCTGTGCCATTTCCTTGGCTTTCTTTGTTTGGGTTTTGAGATCTGATCTGTTATAATTTTGGATGACAGAGCATCTTATTTTATGCTTTATAGGTTCAATACTCATAACTCACTTTTCTTCTTCTATTAAGATTTCCCCCAGATTGAAATAAATTCCTGTCCACTGAACCTCTGTTCAAGTGCACGATTACATTAATTTACAATACAGCACCACACGTGGTACTTAACACATAAACATGTATAAAACCGATTCACGCATGTGTGTGCTCTGTCTTTCCAATTAGATATTAAGCATTTGAAGGTAGGAGTCATGCTTATAATTCCTTTGTATTCTCCTGGCGTAGCTAGCACTGGGCTCAGCACAAAGCAGTTGTTCAGGAAATCCTTGTTGAATTGGATTGAAATACTTCTGTAGCAGAGCTTTGCCGAACTTGTCTGGGGCGGCTTTCTCAGTGTGTAAGTATAAATGAGAGCTTAAGTGACTGTGGAAGAAATTATCTTAATTTAAAGCCAACTAAAAAAAGCCAATAACTTTTTCATCTTGTGCAGTAGTTTTGAAGAAAAAATAGACTTGGCCATCCTCAGCTGCTAAGTTGTCACACAAAAACATATCTGAATTAAATCATAGATGTTGTGATTAATATATATTTTGAATAAAATCCAGTAACTTGAGTTTTGGAAATGGTTTAAATGGGCTAGAAAGACATAAAGTGGTGAACGACTCCGCTTCGATATAAGCTCAGTGCGTGAATATGGTTAGAAAAATATGCCATGTGGAAGTGTCAATCTTTTTTCCTGACACATCCTTTTCCTGACAGAATTTGTGCAATATTCTCCATTTCTGAAGGCATCTCCTGAAGATCAAAGCCCAAGATCGAAAACTGTCAGCTCAGACATTTGGTCTTCTAATACCTCCATCTAACAGTTTACTGGCAATTACACAGGAAAATCCAGTCCTCTCCTGAGAGTGACAGTATTTATGCTTAACTGAGCAAACTGATTTAGTGATAGCAGGGTGCGAACATTTCATTGTCCGCCTGTATTTCTAATTGGTAGAAAGACTTTTTTTTTTCCATTTTGTATGTGAAAAAAATCACTTGGAGTGTATAGAGCCTTAGGTTCTACTATATAATTTGGTTTACATAACACTATATTTCTAGGAACCAAATCCTTCTGAGTAATTCAGATCACATGAAATAAAAGGTGCTCCAACCAAATGAAACCTTTTTGATTTTTCTTGTTTGGTTTCCCCATGTAAGCACGTGTGAATTCTTCCACCCCACCTGTGTTTCTATTTCCTAATTACTTGTACTTCCATTCCAGCTCTTTCCATTCTTAGGAAAGGCATCTTCTTCTTAATGCGATCAAGTCAGATTTTGAGTGGGACAATTGTAGCTGGTCACATCTGGAAGGAGCATGACACGTATCGAGTGTTTGGACTGCTTTGCGTGCCTGGAGGAGGGAACATAGGGAGAAATGTCGGTAAGAAGAAACAGGGGCAGATTTACCATGATGAGGAGGGCAGACTTCATCTTGGATGTAACTGGGAGCCAAAGAAGTAGAAATAACTTTGTATTAACTTTAAAATTATTTGCTAATACAGACATCATGTAAATGTACACATTTGGGCCATGTGTTGGATATTTTCAGTTGGAGTCTCATAAAACTGTAATATTTTAATTATTCTTCAGTCTGTATTTCTCCCTTTGTGTATTTTTGAAAAAACAGAGTGAGTCTTTTTCTCCTGTAATTTATAGGTAAGCATTTTCAAAATAACATGGTTTGTCAGGGCGTGCCATAATAAAACAGAAACCACTTCCTATCTAAATAACATAACCCCAAACTCTGGTTTTCCTAAAACCTAGCACAGCACAGAAAATTAGTGTAGAATGACGCATAATGAGTAAAAACCATAATACATTCTATCTCGCTCAGTAATTTGTTTTGTCAGGTGCCATGG